AACCCTGAAGTTATTCTAGAGAGTATGATTTATAGTTCTATGTTTTGATTACTTCTAGTAAAAGGCCATACTTAGAAACCCTGAAGTTATTCTAGAGAGTATGATTTATAGTTCTATGTTTTGATTACTTCTAGTAAAAGGCCATACTTAGAAACCCTGAAGTTATTCTAGAGAGTATGATTTATAGTTCTATGTTTTGATTACTTCTAGTAAAAGGCCTTACTTAGAAACCCTGAAGTTATTCTAGAGAGTATGATTTATAGTTCTATGTTTTGATTACTTCTAGTAAAAGGCCATGCTTAGAAACCCTGAAGTTATTCTAGAGAGTATGATTTATAGTTCTATGTTTTGTTTACTTCTAGTAAAAAGTTAATTTATATTCGTATTTCCTTCAGTAACAATTAGCTCTTTTATCCACTTCAGTAACAAATCTATCATCTTTAGCACCAAAATTCAATCTGTATATTTATGAACTTTAGTATGAATTTTAATGTGTTGTTGTTTTTGTTTATCGTTGATTAAAGTTAATTTAACTAATTCTGTAATAAAATTTTTGTGTGAGCTTAAGTTTTTATACTTGTTTTATATTATGTTAGTAAAACAGTAAAAAATTATCTTGTTGTTGTTTTCTAAAAGTGTGAATTTAATTGTTGACATATCTGGTTTAAATGTATTTTGAAATGTTTAGATTTTATTGACTTAAGGTTTACTTCTTTATCTTGTTTGGATTCACAGCTGTTGGCCATGTTCTGTCAGGAGTAACCTTAGACCTAAGCCAGTATGCCATGGAGATAGGAAAAATCCTAGCGAGTGAGTTTATTTTCACCCAAAGAATGTGACATTTGTTGAAATTTTAGAGTCGTTTCTACAGCTTTTTTCCTGGAAAACTGTACTAGGCCATTACAGATGAAGTGTTTAAACATTTTGTTAAACCGGGTTGTATTTTTCATGACATAACTTCCCTTAAGCCTATGCATTTTACTGACCTTGTAATCATGATACTATAACTCTAAATCTATTAAGTGTATCTTCACGAAATTTGGTAAGCTTTTAGATAACATTACATGTATGTTTTACACAGACAATCAGATTTTTTACTAAAGAAATTTCTGTGAATTTAAAAAGCCATTACTGAGTGAAAGAAGATTTTCATGCTAAGACTATATTACTTCTTTTCATGTTTCATTTGCATAACTTCTAGATTGTCTAAAATGAATATCAATTTTTTTTTTTTACAGTACAACTTTGTACTTTATCTCTTATTTTCCTTATCCTAACCCTAACTGTAGTAGAACCATCAATGTACAATTAAATGAAAAGTTAAAAATATGAGATCAAAAATACTTTTTTTTTTCTTTTACAACGACTACAGATTGTAACATACAACTTTGATTATATATATCCTAACGTCCTCAGCTTCTAACCTTTTCACAACATCTGCATTCTTTTAATTTCATGGTTTTTATTATCGTATATTGAATTGTCTTCACTACTATGACAATTAATAAATCTCCCTGTGGGAGAGTTTAGGGTAAATGACTAAATCATACCACATCAAACAACGTGAGTTCTTCGAGGAATAATTATGAGAAATTTAAAAACCAATTTTTTTTTCTTTCTTATAAATTTTCTTATTGAACCTGATATTTTAAAATTTTACATTTTAGTTACTTTTGTTAAAAGAATAAGTAATAATGACTAAAAACAAACAAACACTAAAAAAAGCAATAGAAATTTAGCACTTAACTTTGAGGCCGGAATGCACTCGGGTGTTTGCATTAGTAACCATACTTTTTTAAAAATTATATTTGTTGTCTAAAACATAATTCATATAGCTGGTGGCTGTTTCATATGAATTTCAAACACAGAAAAAATATTGTGCATCTGAATAGAATCTTCCAAAACTACTATAATTATCTAACTTTAAATAGATCAGAAACATTCCATTACTGCTCAGAGAAAAGTCTTTAGCCAATACACGACAGACTTTGTGAACTGTTGGCTTTGATTACCAAAAGTAAACACACAATCATGTGATTTACATCGTTCAAAATATGCTCTCTCTAACGGTTAGAAGCATGTCACCGTGACAAGTGGGCGTGACTAGATATGTGGTTTCAAAAGCATGAAGAGTTAGGGGGGTCTTCTTTTGTGGGTGTGATAAATATCATGATATTTCAGCAAATCAAGAAGATAGGAGGTTCTAATTTTACATTCTGCCCTGTCATTATCTATAGGTTGTGTTTCTGATTGGTTGAAAACTGAAACTTATATAAAGGAAACAAAAGAAAATCTAAATTGAGAAAAAAAAAAAGATATGTTGTATGACACAGAATAGTAAAAGTTAAGACTTTATTTAAATATTTCTTCTGAAAATCAATAAATTGTAACTTAGATGATATAAAAACGTTAATTCTAAAGTACATTTTTATGCAAAGTTTGTTGACATACATTGATCATATAATTGATCAGTTAAATATTTAATGTAACTGTTAATAGGGTCATGAAATATGCACTTTCACCACATATACATAGGGTTAATAGAATTAATGCTTTAACACAGTTGACAATATCTGGGCCTCTCTCTCTTATCAGGATGTATTTATTCTTAATCTGTGTATGTAAGTGGAAATACTTTATAATTAGTATAAGTGTTATTAGATGCAATGAAAAGATTAATATTGAAGGCATTCAAAAGACCAGTGTATGTAAGTGTCTATGCTTTAGCTCACCTACATTCAAAAGAAGACTTATGTCGAGAAGAAGCAATAACAGCATGCCGGAACTTGGCAAGCCAGTGTAGCAACCCTCAGCCTGTTCAGGATCTCTTAGAACACATGTTTGGCATCCTTAATGGTAAGGTCTGATGAATATTTTAGTGATTTATGTAATATGTATACAGGGTTTTGTTAGGGTTAGAAATTGTGGAATTTCATGTACCTGTACCTGGCCTTGAAAAGCATTGACTATTTCTTCAGTTGATAAATACAAATTTGTGGTGTTAAAACTGGTTATGAGGAGCCTTACCATATTCACATTGTAATTAAATCTTTATTTATATAGATATATGTGCATAATCACTAACAATAAAAGGCTTATTCCCTTTGTCGCTCTGTCGAGAATGTTTTCACGCTCCTTTGTTGGTAATGCTTAACAGTATACATTGTAGCTTAACATCAAAACTATCACCTGATTGGTCTTAGGCCAACTATGGTGTTTGTGTTTAATGCTCAATATTCATGTTGATTTGTTCTTAAAGTTTGTTTTGTATTCTTTATTATTTTTTTTATAACTTCAGTTATATAACAGCAAAACAGTTTAATTCAGAAGTTTAGGACATTTAGTTGTAGCCAAAAGCAAAATATAATTTACCAAGTAATGTTTCAGCTAAACCTTGTGTTAAATTCATGTATTAGACCTTATTCTTAAATTAAACTACAAATGCCAAGTAATATTTCAGCTAAGCCTTATGTTACATTCATGTATTAGGCCTTATTTTTAAACTAGACTACAAATACCAAGTAATATTTCAGCTAAGCCTTATGTTACATTCATGTATTAGGCCTTATTTTTAAACTAGACTACAAATACCAAGTAATATTTTAGCTAAGCCTTATGTTACATTCCTGTATTAGGCCTTATTCTTAAATTAGACTACAAATACCAAGTAATATTTCAGCTAAGCCTTATGTTACATTCATGTATTAGGCCTTATTCTTAAATTAGACTACAAATAGTCCTACTATTACTAGCGTTATAGAGTCAGTGTGTAAAAAGTTTTAAGTGGTGAATAAATGTTAATTAATAAATATTCTTTTGGTGGTTTAAGATATATATTACCTCCTTGGTTGTAAAACATAAAGAAAAATAAACTTTTATTACTACCAAATATCTTTTATCCTTTGTACAGTCGAAAGAGTTGAAAATTTGTGTCGTAATGTCTGCACCATGTTTTCTAATTCCTGACCTAGAATACAGTGAAAAGGCTCAAGAGTGCTGTTTAACTCTCTTTCAGAGTGCACACGTACTTTTGTTCACAATAACATTTCATTTTTCTGTGTTGTTTTTACTAAAAATGTGGTGATTAAAGAATTACTTCGAGACTAATGAAACAAGTGAAGAGTAGGTGCATTTTAGAGGTACAGACAAATTCGTTTTAGTAAATTATATAATTTTTGTTAATCTTTCAACAATGATTTCCTATCATTATTGTTGGGCTTTTATACTAGTACATAAATAATAATAATAAAGTAGTTACATGAAGTCTTTTTAAATATTGTAGGCATATATACACACACTAGTAAAAGATAGCTTCAAAAGTTTATTGCAAAGTCTATTCCGTGATGTTTTTGCATTCAAACAATCACTTCCTTTTCCTCCTTGACGGTATAGCACTCGTATTTCAGTAAGTATTGCATTTCTTCCTTGCCATTAACCTTTCAAAACGGGCTTGGTATAAAATACTGAGTCGATATACATATTTGCACACGTTAAGTATTTATACCGTAACTTTTAGTACAGTATGTTATCTTAATAAACTTTGGTAGACTTTTGGGAAACATTACAAGTCTTTTGTACACAAAAAATCAGATTTTTAATGAAGTGTTTTTACTAAAGATTTGTTTGTGAAAATATCAAGTCCGTTACTAGTCTGAGTGCAAAGTGGTTTTCATGCTATGTTTGAAAATACTATTCTTCATCCCAAAAAATCTCAAATCTCATTTGTATAATCTCTAAAACCTAAATACATTTCAAACGTTTGTTTTCAGGAAAACTTTATATTTTATATCTTATTTTCTCTACCTTAACTCTATACAAGGTTGGGCAATTTGATTGACCTCGTAACCACCAACAAAAAAAAATATTTTAATTACCCCTTCTTTGTTTCTAGCATGACTTAGATTGTAACATTAAACTACATTTGTTTATCCTAAGTTGCTTTAAAAATCGTAACAGTATACAACTATTCATACCTAAATTTTGTTGTTTTATAGCCCTTTGAACCGTGTCTAACCATTATTTGTGCCATTATAACTTGTAAATCACTTGATAAACATAGGGCTCGTGTGCATGCCTAGTGAACAGTTTTTATTATATTACTATTTATTTTACTTAATCTAACCTTAACTAACCTAAAGATATTTTAATTATTACATTTGAGTTGCTTTTATAATAATAAATATAGAATACACATGAAAAACAAGAAGTAAAATACTTACCAATGTTTTTCGTCTTCTTTGCTGTTGATGACACTTAACC